TTTTGCATAACGAGGACTAGTTCTGACTTCCTGAAGGCAACACACATCAACATTTTCGGAGTGAAGATACTGGGAGAGAGTTGCCTTGCGTTTCTGCAAACTGTTTATGTTCCAGGTAATACATTTCAAGTGATTAACTGGAGACATTGATTACTTGGCCATTTCCAAGGCCCACTACAGGGTGAAGCTGTTGTTGATTTAGGAGGAACGAGAACATCCTTTCCTGAAGCTGAGATTGTTGAGCCATTTGTTGCTGCATCATGAACATCATCTGCTGCATCTGTAGAAGTAGCATTTGCAGTAATTCTTTGATTTCCCCGTTGGACTCTTGTTTGTCCTGCTGCAGAGAGGGCTGAGCTGCAACTGATGCTGAAGCTGGTGCTGAAGCTGGTGGGCTGCCTGTTCTTTTTGCTATTTGTTTTTCTGTCGTTTGGATAGTAAGGGCATAATGGAGAATTTGCATTATGCTCTTGTCGGCAGTTCACGAATTTCCGAGGGACATTTTTTCCTTCGGAAATCTTTTCTGCACATTCTGAACTTCCGTGTGGAAGAGCGCAGTACCGGCATCGCGCTGCGTCTCGTGGACAAGCACGCGTTCCACTTTGAGCAATTGGAGCAAAACGGGGTCAGGGATTTGAAGACGGCACACCTAAAGGGTGCCATGCCTTCGACCATTTTGATAATTTTGGGGATTACCTCCCCCTCATAGGTTATGATGACTCTCTGGGTCATCATTCCATTTGTCTTCATGCGCCTCGCATGAATGATGCGTTCGTTGTATGTAGTCATTTCTTGTATTTCGATTTCCCTTGGGACATCGAACACAATGATGTTCGTGCATTTTCCCTTTCCGAACACTTTGGCCTTTTCCAGGACTTCGCCACATGCACCAATAGATGTTATATGATCAAGAATTTTCTCGTTCTTGCATCTGACATAGACATTGTTTCTTCCTATTTTAAGCTCAATGGATCCGTATGTTTTATTATACGGGTCCATTTTTAGGGCCTTAGAGACCCAGC